AGATATTAACAAGTACTTAACATCGTAGCCTTAAATTTCTCGTTGCAATATTTAAAAAATTATGTAAGCTTTAAAGTTATTACCGCCGTACTCACAGAACTTAATGATCAAACCCAGTCCTTGCCAATTGTCGTCGGAACGAGTAACTAAGGAATAGTTTGAGTAATCATTGCACGTCTCTGAGTACGGCTATTAATGTTTAGTTAATATGTTCCCTCCAAAATTTTTTCCTATTATTTTTGTGGCAACGACAATACATTTTGTATTGCTCAAATTATGCTCATTTTTAATTAATCCTTGTACTTATTTCTGTAGTGATATTAAATATTTTACTCTTAATAACGATGTTTGTGTCGTTTGACTATGTGTAACTTGATTTATGTTTGATGAATTGATCTGTGAAGTTAAGCGGGCGACGCCTGCCTTGTATTTAGTGTAGATGACAGAAATAAACATTTACCTAGTATCATTTTATGTGTTTTTATTTCAAATAAACAATGGCAGTTTAACAGATAATTATAAATGTTATATTTTATAAACACACGGTGTCGGGAGGTGTAGCAGTCTTTCAAACGAGTCTTGGCAAAAAGCGTTATAAAATCGTTGCGAAAACTGTACACACATAGACAACTTGACTGGCGAAATACTCAATTAAGGTTTAACTCATATCTTTTACTCTTATACTATTATATAAAGCGGAAGAGTTTGTTTTTTTGTTTGTTCGTTTGAACGCGCTAATCTCCGTAACTACAAGTCTGATTTTAATAATTCTTTTTGTATTGGATAGCGCATTTATCGAGGATGGCTATGGGCTATAAAACATCACGCTACGACTAATAGGAGCTAAGCAGAGCGTGTAAAAAATAAGGTGAAAAGTCAATTTAAAAATCTATTGATAGTTTAAAACATCTATGTTAATAACATAAACACGTCGATAAAGCACGTAAGTTTGCGTGACACTTTTAATTACATTGTAATTTGTACCTTACTGTATGAAGATAGGGTTGACTTTTCTGTGAACATGTAAACTACACTACAATAAAATTAAATTAATATTTTTTTTAAGTTTGCGTGACACTTTTATCTACACAGTAATTTATACCTTACTGTATGAAGATAGGGTTGACTTTTCTATGAACATGTAAACTACACTACAATAAAGATAAATTAATATTTTTTTTATTCTTTTTATGCCTTGTACAGTATTGCGCCAGTAAAGTTGTTCAAACAACAGTACATTGAGAGATTTCATCAATTTCCTACAATTACAACATTTATTGCATACGTCACATCAAATATCAGTCTTACACAGGAATCTCTCCAAAGAAATTAATGAAATCCACTCACATTTGATTATAAACCAACAATAAAGTTGCTTTTTCTTTACATCAAGTAGTAGTGGTATAAAATTTTATAGATTTTTTTTAATATAAAATCTAGTCTTATAATTATATTGAGTACATTGGTACCTAGTGCATGTCAATGTTACATTATAGAAACTACGTGAAAATAATTGTTTCGAAGTTACTCGGGACCAAATTGGTCTCGCAACATTGCATGTCTAATTACATACAGAAAAAGGTAAGTTGTATTTTACGTAGTTTCAGTATGTAATACATATATTGATTATGTTCATAAAAATGTAGGTATTCGTTTCAACAGCGTACGAAACATACACTATCATTTTATCAAAAACATACTGTGTAACTATTGAAATACATAATTTTTAAAATGTATTCATATTATGTGATCGCAACCCAAGACGTCCACCTGTAAGGTAGACAAATGACTTTGTTAAGGTCACAGGGAGCCGCTGCATGCAGGTCGCTTCGAACAGATGCCTTAGTACGAGTATTTTTTACGTTAAAAGTATTCGTAACGAGTACGCGTTCGGCAATCTGATTGGTCGGTGTAGGGGTTGTAAATCCCTACAGTGTTGATTATAAGTTTATGTTGCAATGTTGAATGTTGTTTATGTTAAATGAGTAGACGACCAATCTCTTAGATAGTTTTATTGCTACTGAATTAAATTAATTATGTAGTTTATAATGTTCAGAAATGCTGATTACGATGATTTAATTATTCGCGCTTATGACGACAAAGTCAATGTACAGCGTAGCTCGTACAGTCGGTTCATTTTAACCGGCCAATCACAGCGCCGAACGCGTACTCGTTTCGATTACTTTAAACGAAAAAGAAACTGGTACTAAGGCCTCTGGTCTATCTGGGAGTCATTCGAGTAAGTCTATGCTCAGTAGAAGACGTCTTGTGGGTGACAAGTTACAAGTTACGCATGATGCAACATGCAATATCCCGAAACGTATAGTCCGCAGTAATTCCAAAACTGTATAGAAAACTGTAAAACTGGGTGTTTCGACTCCATAGCGATATAGTAATCTTTTTACATACTTATATTAAAGTGTTTAATTATTGGTCATTCTCAACAACCTATCCGTTGGTAGATTTAACTGCTAGAGTGATGTAATTTTGGTATGTGAAAATTCCATCACAAACAGGGCCCACTAGTGTCAATGCCTGTAAGGGTTGCTAGACCAGTTATATACAGTGGCCCTGACTCAGACCCAGGGTAGGAACGAGATGGGTTTTAGGCAGCAAGAATCGTGACATTCCTTCACGCCTCCCCAGAATGATTTCCACCCACAAAAACATGTAAAAATTCGCTCTCTAGTAGTCAAATCTATTGACGTGTAAGTTATTGAGACTGACCTTACAAGAGTCGTAACAATTAACATTACGTCCTTATTAACTGTAGAATCTCTATTCATTCCAAAATGCACCTTATTGACACTATAAATCGTTGCTTTTTGATAAGAAAATGGTACAAAAAGCAAAATTGTGAACACTGTGTTTAAAAATCTCTGTTTGTATTTACTTCTTCCTTTACAAGGAATTGTCGATTTTAGTCATTTCAAATAAGGTCTATATTTGTGTAAAGTTGTTTAGGTGAAAGCTAAAACTTTATTGCACATCAAATAAAAATATAAACTTTTAATACATACATTTTTAACACAATAAAAAATTTAGAATTAGTTTCATTTAATAATTTATAACATCGGTTTTCACTAGTTACCTACATTACGTCAATAAACACATGATGAAATGATTGCCGATTCAAAGAACATACATTAGAATATGAAATCATAAAATACGATACAAAATCTTGCTTTCAAAGTCCTTCAATGTCAATCAAACCAATCAATCACTTAATGATGGAAGTACAGTATTTGGCGATCAAAAAGCAGTCTTATTGTGCTATTTTTAGAGACGAAAATTGAGTAGGTATGTTCTATCTAACTAGCCACCACTATATTCAAGGCACATCTTAACGATATTCTATATAACGATACTATTTACTAGATAATATTAGGTATTATAATAATACAGTGAGAAAACAACACGAAAATGTACTTTAAAGTTGGTACAAAAAGTCTAAATTAGTTTTTCATACAATAAATGCTCAAATTAATTCGTAATAATCCACACTGAAATTAAAATACAAGTTTAAATCAAAATGCAAGTTAACTTTGAGTTTAAGAACAAAATTCTATGTATAAAAATTATCTTATCAGAAAAAATCATAACAATATCATAAAGAAATTGGGTCATCAAATACCTACATACTACCTACATTAACCATATAATGTTATTCACGAGCGAGTATGTTGCGGCATTTCGAACTATAGTGATTATCTTTGTTACGTTTTAAACGCCGAAATCGCTGAATTAATTTCGATGAATTTTGTTGCAAGATAGGGATCTTGTGAGTTGGTTACTATGGGTTACTTTTATGCCAAAACCAACCTTGGTATCTTAGAGATCAAATCTACATTGTCGTGCGTGAAGCCACAACACACTAGCTCATGGTACAACGTCAACGAAAAAATTGAAAGAAAGCATAAAAATGTTTTAAAATATTATGGCCGGTGTTATAATACTGGTTGTTTTTTGTTTTCTCTCATTATATTCGACTTGAGCCTTGCTAGCTAAGCTACTATTCAAATCTAAGTGCGGCCCTAAGCATTTTAATCTACTTAAAATGGAAACATTTTGCTTGGCTTTCAAGATATTAATCTTGATTAATTATGATCAAAATAATAAGATGTTCTTTAGCATTCACTCTGTAATTTTCATATAGTGTGATTGATCCAATATGTGCATTTAAAAGTTCTATAGAAAACAATATGATTCCTTACAAATATGAAGTTACATAGGTAATAAAACCACTAGCAATATGATGTCATTGCAACAATTAGGTAGTATTAACATTATAAGGATATTTATATATTATATATATATAAGATTACATATAAGATACATTATATATATATAAGGAAGAATATTGTTGAATGTCAGTCAGGTGAAAACTAAAGCACATCAAATTATTTTGTCCTGTGCAAGTACGTAAACTTTAATCACTTATTTGCAATTCATAACATATCTCTTACAAATTCACTGCTAGGCTTCTCCCAAATCTTTCCCGACCTGTACAACCTATAAACCTTATTGTTAACTAAACTCTGTCCAAATTTCACCATAGCTCCTTCAAACTTGTGCTGGAACACCTGCATTTGAGTCTCATTGTACCCACCTCCACTCGGATTGTACACCTTAGGATCCCTACACTCCGTATACTTATGTGCTGCCAATATTTCTACCGGTAACACTTTAACACTCGAGTTAAAACTAAACATATCCTCAAATGTTGGCATGGCATCCAAATTCCTCACATATACTGGCTTCAATTGCTCGACATGATATAGTAATGTGTCTTCTTCATTAGATTTGGGAACCCTTCTTCTGTCCTATCATCATCCGGTTGGTTCAAACAGAATAACAGAGGTGTCACTTCTAGAGTTTTGAATTTCCTAGTAGGATCAAAGTCACTGAATATTTCCTTCACATTATTATGGACTCTAGGAACAAAAACTCATCCCAAGACATAACCATAGCATGACTTACTTTCTCTGTTTCTTCTTTATCTATTCTAAAGTGTCTGAATAGACAATCAGCTCTATAGCATTCCTTACAATGTTGTATGACTTAGCAAATACAAATGGATAGTTAAGAGGGAAGAATTGTATGTTCCACTGAGTGATGTCAGGTGGCAGTAGGTTCAGTCTTCTAATTATATCTTCGGATATCATACTGTCATATATTGTAAAGTAGTTCACTCCCACCATATGGTGGAATACTAAAAACTCGATGAAAGAATCTCTTGATACCAACGGCACTTGGTTTGGTATGATACAAATAGCTGGTTCAATGTTATTCACAAACTTAATATTACTTCTCTCCCTAGGTTTTCTCTTAGTGTTCACCTCAATAACTCTGTTTATTGGTGCATGTATTGGGTTTATATTATAATCATTACTGTAGAAGCTGATTCCCTTGGGCTTTCCCATGTTCTTGTTCAGTGAACATTGGAATATGTATAAGCGGAAATCATTGATGGGTTCAGACACAATTTTGTAGTTAAACCTGCCTGCTTTAGGTTTGTCTGTGTTCTCTAGCCAAATATTGCATCGGAAATTAGGTGGGACGTGCGCCTTGCCGATGACAATAGTGTCAATGTTGTGAGGATGCATTGGCGTCAATTTTTCATATTTCTGATAAGATCTCAAGAAGGATGAATAAGAATAGAAATTCTCGTCAATCTGCTGAAAGAGAGGCGGAGTTTCGCGGATTTCTAGCGATGAATTTCGAAGGATCTCAGATAACATAGTCGCGTTAAAACCTGGGCCGCAGAATTCGATCTCAGAAAGGCCCGGTTTGCCAAAGAAATTCAACACTTCGAGCACGTACCTCAGCCTGTAGTACTCATGGCGGTATATGAGCAAAGTAATTATGCTCATAAAGCATACTATGACGAGAATAAGTTGATAATATTTCCTCATTGTGGTGTTCCCTGCAGCGTTTCGAGGAGACGTCTTCATTTATTCACCCGGCATCTAAAATCATTACATACGATTTAGAAATATGAACGTTGTCATTTTAAAACAGGACTTACAGGTAAGAACTTACCCATTTATTTAAGAACAGAAATAAAATTAAAATAATGGTTTTCGACGGTATTCATTTCACAATTTACAGCATTGCAGATGATTGTGATGAATGAAAATACATCAATTGACAGTTATTGTGACAGCTGACAATTGAATGAATGGACATGAATGGGTGCGACGTCAAAATGACACTTGAATGACGTATATTTCGTATGTTGGTTGCTCTGATTTCTGCATTATGGATCATAGAGATGCACTTCGAAATGGCTTTCGGTTTCTTTTTGTTTTAGAAATGTAAAAGCATTTTATAAGTAAGTTTCGTAAGTTGATAAAATATACGAGCGATAGTATTGTATTCAAAATATGACAGTTATACCTTTGTACAGTAGCATGTTTTTATTATTTTTTTCAATTTGATGTTCCCACTGGTTGTCTATTCTCATACAACAAAATTTATGTTACCACAACTCTACTTCTTGTCAATTCTGCCAAAGTAACAATATAAAACCAAAAGCGAGCAAGTCATCGGCGTTTTCATGGAATGTCTTGTATAGTTGAATAGAAAAATAAAATAATTTCTAAATATGTCCACCAATAAGGAGGAGACTTTGAGACAGTTTTGTGATGTTACTGGCGCGGATGAGGGTCGCAGCAAGTTTTTTCTGGAGTCGTCTAACTGGCAGTTAGACGTAAGTTGAACGCTTGTTTTATCACCTTTTTGCTGTTTTTTTGTCATAATAAGGTATTAGTCGTTGATTAATAATGTCAATCATCAGTTTGAATCAAGTTTTATCAGTTTTGTTTTGGTTTCGGCCTCACTTTGAACCTTTGGTTCTACATTGGTTAAATTCTTGTAAGTTCGAAACAAAGACCTAGGCATTCTATTAGTTACGTAGCAGTTTTCCGTATTGTTATTATAGTTATGTTATACTTTTCTTGACTATCGATCCTTTTCTAATGATTTGTTGACAATCTTTGCACTGGAAATCAGTCAATGAACTGATTCAATTAGATCCTGGTGTTTGATCTTTTCAGTGTGACCAATATAATAAGAATTGTAATAGATTCTTGTAAGACACATTATCAGAATAAAACACTAGATTATAGTATACTGATAATATATCATGTGCATCATATATGGCAAATATGTCACCCCTATACATACAAATAAAAATATACATACCCCTATACATACATACCACTTACAAATAAAATCGATTTATCAAATTATAGGTAGCACTATCCAGTTTCTATGAGCACGGAGGTAACGCAGACGAGGCTCCGTCCAACCCAGCGGCTGCCGCATCGTCCCTGCCGACTCTGTCAGACAGTGACATGGAGTCACCTCCTGGGTCACCACTAGCTGCCCAGAAGAAAGACAAGAAGAAAGCGCCGAGCTCAAAGTTTGCTACGCTTGACTCCTTGCAACAGGAGAGCTCTAGTGATGAAGAAGAAGGTAAATATTTGCTTTACTTACAAACATAGAACCAAAGCTCCAATACCCCCTCCTCCCCAATCCCCCAATCCCTGATTCCCACAATCCTCAAATTCCTAATCCCTAATAGGCAAGGAATGCACTTGTAACACATTTGATGTTCAAGGTGTCCATGGCGGACGCAGAATCCTTACAATCAGATCATGTCTGCTCATTTACCGGCTTATCCAATATAAAACCAAAAATTATATTTGTTTAAGTATGCCTGGCTGACTTACAGTAAACTGAGAAACCATGTAGCTATTTATTTATTTAAGTTTAAATATATGTGGATATAAAACCAATAATCATCTTGAGAAATATTCATGGTTCAAGACAAATACAATAATCCTCTCTTTTGTTTCACTATAGTGATATAACTGATAATAAATTTTTTGGCTAACTCACATAATTGTTTGAAAAGGAATTCTAGTAGTTTGAAGCGATACCAGAGGCTCATAATAACATGAGATATCATGTTATCATGCTGGTCCTCGCAGATGGATATCTGGTAGCATGTTATTATGCTAGACTAGCAGCACGACAGTGGCTTTGTTGTGTGATGCGGAATGCTCTATGTCTGCTAACAAATAATGACATGAGTAACCCGAAAACTATAGTAATAAACTATAGTCTATGTAATAAATAAAACTATAGTCATATAATCTACCATCTGATCTAGGGTTCCCTGCTTCCCTGTACTAAAAGATGCATTAAAAGTTTATCCTTAATTGAATGATAGGTAGTAATTTTAAATTTTATCATATTCTAACTTTCCCAAAGTTAATGCATTCGCTAAGGTCCGTGTTGCATCATTTGACGAATACATGCATTCGTCAAAAACGATAAAAGGTTTTAACGTTACTGCTTCGTGGACAGTTTAAACTGTATCTAAACAAGATGTCATTTGTCATTTGTCATTTGTAGGCTGCCTATTGCTTGTAAAGGATGCATGCTTTCGTCAAATGCCACAACAAAACCGTCAAATGACGGCTGGACGGTTACCCTAAGTTTGATCTGACGGATCTTAGGAAAGAAATCTCATTTAGTTAATGTTTTATTAAAATGATGGTGAAATGAGAATAATTATGGCTAATAATACTAAGAGACTCATTCGAAATGATTTCTGGATGCCAAAAACCAATTCAAAACTCTTTATAAAGCATTAACAGCCAGCATGAATTCTTAATATTCTTAGGTTTTTGTAAAGCAGTAAGATCAAACGCCAGTTGGTTTAGGAAGCAAATACAACTGAAATTACATCAGTACATATGCGAGAGAACTTCATTTTCCAATGCCGTAGTAAAGACAACGATGCCTCCGTCAAATGACGCTTCAACACAGGCCGTGCACGATGTAATGTCGGAAGGTTCTGAGTATTCACTCGAGCTAAATAAGCTGAAAAAAGAAGTGGAGAGATTGTTGTATGAGAATAGTGCGTTGAGAAAAGAGATTGCAAGATTGCAAGGGGAGGAACCTCCTGATGCCGGTGAGGCAGGTCTGTGCATTCTATCTTGTAGTGTTGATTGTAGAACTAACAGTTACGTTTTCATTGAACGGTAAACACAATATTGTGCAATTTTAATTATAAAGATGCGCAACTTATTGTTGCGCAAATGTTAAATAGCTACATTAATACCTTAATGAAAACTTGACTATAATCACTACAGATGGAGTGGACAAACATGCTTATGGCCCTTGTATACGGTCGAAATTTGCCTGTAGGTTCCTATTAGATCCCTTTAAAAGTTCTAACAGGAAAGTTCTAGTATAGCTCTTGAAAGTTATGTATGTAGTTGGTACAGTCAGTATCCCTGTATTCAAACAATAATTTCCATTGTTACAGGTCAAGCCTTCTATGCCGGTGGATCGGAGCGCTCTGGACAGCAGATCCTGGGCCCATCCAAGGGCGGGAGAAAGGATATAGTCACTGAGGTCTTCAAAAGCGTTCGAGAGTGAGTTTCACCATTGTTTTATTAACATCCCATCACCAGGTTATGACAATGCACTGCTAGTCTATGTGCCATCCCGAGCGTACGGCGCGTCGCGTTCCGCGCGCGCCTCAAAGAGCCATCAGACCACCACAGATGGGGCTCAATAGGGCCGATGCCGATTCGGAGTCGCGGAGAACCTAACGGGTAACCGGGGCTCCGGCTCGACGTGCAGGAGAAGGAATGGGGTGGTTTTTAGTCAGTAAGAGTCTGACACTCCCTTCCGCCTCACCCAGGCGGGAAGAGTCATTCGATGATTTTCCCCCCTTAAAAAAAAAAGTCTATGTGCCATATAGCATACCTCTCTCATGTGGATGAGGAATACATGAGAGGGGTGGTCCTGTCGTGTGCTGTGCTTTAAAGGTTTCTAGTGTATTACAGAGGGCTGCTGCTTGCTCTCTGTTAAGTGTGTAGTGCCTAAATTGGTTTATAGGTGTCCTACTAGTGTGTGTAGTACGGGGAGGGTTGACAAAATGTATTCTACTCTATCATCACCAGACCATCCGCCACACGGCACGGCAAAATATAGCGGGGTTCCCCTACTGCTACTTGAACGCATAATCGCCGCTTTGTTTCTTTATGTAAACGGGGCACAAATCTATATATATAAAAGAAAGTCGTGTTAGTTACACTATTTATAACTCAAGAATGGCTAAATCGATTTGGATGAAAATTGGTGGGGAGGTAGCTTAGAACCAAGAGACTGACATAGGATACTTTTTACCCAATTCTTTTTTTTACTTTTTACCGAAATTCAAGAACGGGAACGGGAAATATCGGGATTGCGCGTACGAAGTCGCGGGCGGAAGCTAGTTGTTAATGTTCGGGGAATTCCCGCGTTATATTCGAATTATTAATACGGTACTTTTTTTATCATCGCAATAGCGATATCGTATTGGTTGTGTGTTTTTAATTATAATTCAAGTTTTGACAGTATGGAGCGTATATTTTCACGAATCTTAAGTTTATGGGTAATTCGCGAATGGTGTTCACCGAAGCGATTTTTTCATTGAAATGGTAAACGATTCATAACAAAACAAGCCGACGGATCACCTGATGGTAAGCAATCGGCGCCGCCCATGGACACCCGCAACATAACATGAGTTATAAGTGCGTCGCCGATATTTTTGGGTTTGTTTTTATTTTATCGAAAAAATTATGTGTTCGATAAATATATAAATAATATATTTCTTATCTCTTTAGGCGTGGTGCCGTCGTATTTGAAGATGAGCCGTCGTCTACTAGCCGAGGACGTTCTGCATTCAGCGGTGTTGGATATAGACTTGGTAACTGTATTACGTATTATGATTTGTCGACCTTAAATACTGCAGTCTAAGGTTGAGACTTGAGAGTGACTTGCACTTTGTGGGATGGTATGGTCTATTTTCGCTTGTCAATGACAATGTTACAATTATATCGTTAATTTACATAAGTTTCATGGCAAACCACTCATAATAATGATAATAATTATTGTACCATTAGATTACCCGGCAGACATCGTAGGTACTGCCTAAAAATTATTTTCACCTTTTAAACTTCTGGAATTCCGCGAACATTTCGAAACAAAAATTAATAGCCAAATCGGTTTAGCCGTTTTCAGATTTTGCGGGACTAATGAACAGAAATTCATTTTTATTGATCTACATTTGTGTCTTAGATAATTGTTTGAGTCAATCAAGACTTGTATAGACATTTGTGATGGTACTTTACTTAGTAAAACTAGCTACGACCGCCCGGGTTCACCCGCTCCGCTCGGCTCCTATTGGCCGTAGGGTAATGTTTTATAGCCTATACTATCTAACACAAGAAGATTTCTTCAAATCGAGTAGTTCCAGAGATTGTGCGTTTAAACAAACTCGTCAAAGATTAGATTTTTTTTTAACCTGTGGTGTGTTTTTCCTGTATCGTGAATGCGTTTACAACCATACTTACAAGTTCACATACACATGACACCCAGACCCGGAACAACAATCTGTGGATCACACAAAGAGTTGTTCCGTGCGGGAAACGTATCCGCGACACTTTGCGCGGTAGTCAGTTGCCCAGTCACCGCGCCAACCATGCACTCATATTATAATACAGTTACAAGATTAGATAACTTATGTTGATGTTTATATCGTTTATCATGTTACACAGGTCAAACGGCTGATGACCATGAGCCTGCATCAGCTGGCGGCAACCAGCAGCAACAAGTAAGTCGATTAAATAACCACTTGTACAAGTCAACCCAGTAGCCTTTTATACCTACCTATTATTGATTTTAGTATTTGTTATTATAGTGGCTGAACATAGGCCTCCCCCAATGTCTTCCAGATATGCCTCATTCAGCAGTGGATGTCCTATGGTGATGATGATGATAATTATAATGACAACAGAAATACACCAATTGTCCAAACAACTGTCTAACTACGACGACCAGAAGCGTTACAAGTGCGTTACTGGCCTTTTGGTGATTAGGAATTTGAAGATTGTTGGGGATTCGGGGTTTAGGGAGATTGGCGAGGGGGTAATTGGGCCTCCGGTAACCTCACTCACACGACGAATTACATCGCAAGCGTTATTTCACGTCGGTTTTCTGTAAGGCCGTGATATCACTCCGGTTGAGCCGGCCCATTCGTGCCGAAGCATGGCGAGCCCACATTTAAGTTTATATCGCTCTTATCACACTTCGTTATGGTTTTAGAGCAAAAAGCTAGTTAATTATAATGTGTTTATTCCCTATGTGTCGTATAGACTGATCAGCCGCGTTCAGTGAGACTGCGACTGTACCGCGAGGGCTTCACAGTGGACTCCGGCCCACTGCGACACTACACCGACCCTGACCACGCTGACTTCCTCAACTGTATACGTAGGGGGTGAGTTATAATGTGTAATTTGAAGTAAATTACGAGTGTATGAATGGTTTATGGAATAAGGAAAATAATCAGATGGATCCACCTGATGGTAAGCAATCGGCACTATGGACACTCGCAGCAGAGTCGTTACAACTGCATTAATGACCTTTGGCATAAATACGCATTAGTCTGCCATTTTCAAATAGTTGTTAGGTACGTATATGAAGGCATCGAGCGTAATAATCGAGAAGGTGTATCGTCTGATTGCATTTTGGTTCGGTTAAGTTAATTAGTTTTTCAGGTTTTCGAAAATTCCTAGTAGTAAAACCTAGTTTAGGATTGTGCTCCGTGTGTGGTGCTAGGTGCTTTGGTCACTCAAATCTCCAATTTTCAGCGCCTATAAGATTAAGTCTTAAAAAAGAGTTGTTAATTTTATATGTGAAATTTACTCACCCATACGTTGAATATAGAGCGTGATATTATGTGCATTTTTATGTTGCTTATGTATGTATCATTATATTCCAGTGAGATTCCCCCCGAGCTATCCGGCACTGGCGGCGAGGTCCGTGTATCTCTAGAGGACCGGCGACATGAGGAGTGTCCCCGACACATCGCTAAACCGCAACCATTCTCCGGGAAGGGACATCTACTGGGCAGGTGAGAATACAAACCGACAATTTATCAATTAAACCAACCGTCGTCGACTAAGATGGAAAAAACTACCTCTCCAGTTGAGTTGGACTGCCATACAATCGGATTAAGTCACTGCGAGGATACAGAGTGTACTACACTTTGAACATAATAGGGTAGTTTCTTAAATTTTATTTTGATGTCCATCTGGTACATTAATTTAAAACTTTAGACACGTATTTTTCTTTTCTAACAAAATTACATATTTTCGACGATATATTAATTTGAAATATCGTGTGACGTCACAGCGTGCCACATTTTGTAGCACGTTATGACGTAGTAACCTCCCACTCCTAAACTTAGCGCCATTTTATCTAAGTATTGCTACTTAATACGAGAAAATAATACGTATCTAATATTTTTTCATTATCTAACTGACGGACTAATTAGATTTTTAATTTTGATCCCCTGGAAACTACCCAATTGTACAGCAGTTTAAAATTGGTGTAGTGGTCAAGTCTAATCTAGTTATTGGGAGATAGGAGAATGGAGAATAAAGAAAATCTGTGAATTTTCTTGAGATCACCAGGTGGATTTTCGCTGTGGAAGTTCCTATCTATAAAATAAATAAGTATTAATACGTGTTCCAGCCCAACTCCTCCTACAGTAGGAGCTACGGCGCCAGTAGCGGGTGACGTGGCTGACCGCGCCGCCAACCAGCGCGCCGCGCAGGAAGCTATCAAGATTGATGATTCAGCACCTGTTACTACTATACAGGTACTATTATTGTCACTGTTATCGTCATGCTTCCTTTCATAGCATCTTCTGCTGGCGATTGGCCTCTACAATAGCACATTGGTAGGCAACGAAGAGCTTAAAGATAGTTGCTGCCAAGAATCCGTACCGATTCTTAACAGCAACTCCACACTACCTATGTCATAAATCTATATTAATTAATTGGGGTAGACATTATTGGTGATTGAAATTGGCTATAAATAAATTAACAAACTATCACGAGTTTAGCCTTTTTTGTTAGATTTTTACGACTGCCTTGTTGGTCGAGTGGTCGCAAGTGCGACTGCCGGGCAAGGGGTCTCGGGTTCGATTCCCGGGTCGGGCAAAGTATTACTGGGTTTTTAAAAAATAATCTCAGTAGTAGCACGGAGTCTGGAATTGTGCCCGGTATATGGCAATAAGCTCACCCCCTATTACATGGGACTCATAACATAAATAGTGAAAAGTGGGTGTTACATTGTACAGTGGCATAATGTGCACCTCTGCCTACCCCTTCGGGGATAAAAAGGCGTGATGTTATGTTATGTTTATCCCTATTTTTGCGCTAAAATATTTTTGCGTTAACTTCACTTGGTGGTGGTAATAGAATAGCTTGTGACCAACATTCCTTTGATCCACAGTTCCGCCTTGCGGACGGCAGTCGTCTGACGGGTCGGTTCAACCACACGCATACAGTGGGCGACCTACACGCGTACGTGTCTCGCGCGGAGCCCTCGTACCAGCTGCAGGCCTTCGCCCTCCTCACGACGTTCCCCAGCAGAGAGCTCGCTGACCACGCTGCCACGCTCGCACAGGCCAACATTCTCAACACTACGCTTCTCCAGCGGCTCAAATAAATCCAAAACCTAACGGGATAAGGTCCATTCTCGGTTGGCGGTGCCCGTTCTTCGATATCCTAGTGAGAAGTTTGCGCAGGTTTGCGCAACGCCAATAGAAAGTTGTTCTATATAACTGATGGCAGCTTTCTATTTCTGTGTTAGATTTTGTAAGACTTCCAAAGTAGTTGTGTCGGTCGCGTCGTGTCGTACGCAGTTTGCGCAAACTCTCACTATTTACTGCATATATAAGAACGTTAGCGCATTTTTTACACACGAATAGGATTACTCTAAAACGCATTTATAGATCGGCTTCTAGGATTTTTTAAAGTATTTAAAATATTTGTATGTTTCGTTCGTGTGGGTGTGCGTGTAGTTTTTATACGTATGTGTGAACGGGCGCAATAACGGGCTATTTGTAACGCGATCTCGCGAGTGAAACAGTGTATTGGTCAATAAATAAACGTTTTTAAGTTCCTTTTTGGTGTTTTTATTTAAGTAGCATTGAATACCTACCACAATAGAATTAAAGCATTAGCTCTAAAAGCATGAACTAAACGTCACCTTGGACCAATTGAAAGATAATATAGAGGTGTAATGGTTCCAACATGTCAAAGTGTAATTTTTGGTATGGCTATCAAACTACGAAATATTAGCACCTACACAAGTCCATTACTTTTTTAGACGTTAAGCTTTTTACTACACGTTTACGTAATTTTTATTAGAATTCAGCGCCACGCTCATGTCAAAAGTACACCCCAAAATTGTACTAAAAAAGAGGAACCGGTGATGCATGAACTTATTTCAAAAGTTCATCATGAGCCGTATGTAACTCCTTGGACACTTAAGTTGTTAATACAGTAAAAATCAAATCAAACAACACCATAGAAAAAATCTATTTCTTTATTAAATAACATTACGAAATATAATTTAATCAAAACATAATTTAATCGTAAATTTACTACTAATTATATAATCAAAATTATCCATAAAACTATGATAGATTAATGTATAATTATAGTAAAACAACTTCATGATTTCTTTGTACTTGTCAGTACCATTCTCGAGCCACGTTTGATGCGAGTAACCGTTGAATGGTCGCCATTTTGGATATACTTTGAATTTGGAACGTGTTCCGTCATGTTTGCGCTTTGCGTTTAGTTTACGAGCAGCACGCGGCTTTAGGGAAGTTACACGCGCATGGATCGGTTGTTATACACTCCGCGGGACATATGCAGTCGCAAGCTGGAATAGGAAAAATTACACAATATTAACGACTGATCATTGAAGAGACTGACTATGTACAATTTCAGTTGATCCATTCTACCGCTAGTTATCAATAGAAGAGCATATTGCAATCAGAAAAAGATTGGCTGGACACAATAACAAAGTTTCAAAAATCACGATAACGTTACATTTAATAAGTCCATTGCAACACGTAGATTAGAGGGCGTTTGGCGATCACTTTAATACCATTAGCGTAGAGGGCGCGGCAGTCACATTTGAGTATGTTGGATCAATAAGACAGTCGATATAAGAAATCTTGACCTCTTAAGGGCTCGTACAAAAAACTGCGGTGCGACGTCGCATCCCAAAAATGCGAGCTCCCGCACGCATCGCAAGAACTTGCGAATTGATTCGCATCGCGCATCAAAATGTTATCTTCTTTGTTTCTTTTTCCTGTATATCCTAAGCAATAACAGAAGTGCCCACTTCTTTTTACGATCCATGTCACGACCTAATCTTCAATTTAAAATACGTTTAGTACGATTGACGGTCGTCGAAGGAATGGTCACCCTGGGAGACGCCTTGTCGCACTAAATCGCATCGCAGCAATTCGCATCGTAATTTTCTGTACGAGCCTTAAATACAAGAGCAAGCTATTTCAGGAAGTTTTTGTAAAAAATGTGTAACTTACGTTTGCAATCTCCATACTTGCAAGGATCCATGTATTCCGTGCAGTCCTCGCCGGGCGGCAGGAACGATGACCGGTAAATAGTTGTGCCTTCCAACTGAGGATAGATAGCATATTAACTCTTATTTGCTTGTTTATGAGACTGATTTGGAGTTATTTGTGAATTGTAACCATCTTTCAATAAAACTTTTGGTTGACATGAACACAAAAAGAAACACAATTTTATTATTAAATAATAAAATTGTGTTTAAAAATTAAATTTTAATTTTTATCTTTTAGTTATAGTGTCTCTCAAGTTGTACATATTTATTTATTTATTCCTTTCCTTATGTTGTAAATATCTCAGAGTAGAGACATTGAGAAAAACTGCATCAGCTGATCAAATGTAAAATGAACTTCATTTGTTTCGTGATAAAAATAAAGCATGCGACTAAGTGGCAGTTCTGAATAAGTAATCATCAGAAATATCTATATACTAGCTTTTACCCGCGGCTTCGCTCGCGTCACAAAAGAATAAAAAGTAGACATGTGACATATACCAATACACACAGCGCCATCTATACCAATACTTTTGTTTTTCCTCGGGAATATCAATTTTTCCGGGTTAAAAAGTACCCTATTATTTAATCCAGACTTCTAACTTTACGTCTGCAAAAATTCAAAGCAATCGGTTGAGTAGTTACGGCGTGAAGGTGGAACAAACAAACAAACAAACTCACTTTCAGATTTATAATATTGGTAAGGATATAAAAGAAAGTCGTGTTAGTTACACCACTTATAACTCAAGAACGGCAGAATAGATTTGGCTGAAAATTGGTAGGGAAGTAGCTTAGAGCCAGGAGACCGACATAGGATACTTATTAACCAAATTTTTTTTTTACTTTTGACCGAAAATCACGAACGGGGACGGGTAAAAATGGGACGGTACGCGTACGAAGTCGCGGGCAGAAGCTAGTTTATGATAAATCGGAAAATCTCTGACTGTCGCATGGATGAAGCACTGACCTTTTGGCATGGTTTCTGGTACTGTCCCTTGCACGCCCACGGCGGCCGCTGCGGCTGCGGCACGCACACCGGCTGGTACGACATCTTCTGAGTCGTCGTCGACTCCATTTTAGCTGAAACATAAAAATAAGTTGGTTGGTGTTTGGTAATTATGAAGTGTTTAATTGATTACATTTATTTAAGGTTAACAGTAAGTACAAATAGTATAAAACAAGTAACATCTAAGTAAATTAAACCAATAGATATTAGAATTATATTTTTTAAAGTCACGATCGACTCTCCCACTTCCATGATCGCCTGTTGAACCGAATGGACCTCTCGGATTAAGATGAAATGTAAATAAATATTGAAGTTATTGTATTATTAGGTAATAAGTAATAAGGCATACAAATAATTAAAGAAATAAATTAGATAAATAAATAAAGTTATAATTAACTTATGTAAATAAAGGAATAATTATTAATTGTAAATGTAAATAACTGCTTGTGTATTATTGATAGATATCGTATTTAGGTAGTTTCATTTCTCTTACTTAGGGACTTGTTTTATATTTCTATATTTTGTTCGTGCTTAAATTGTAATAAAAACAGCTAATGTATGGAGGCAACCTATAGATAGCTCACCTGCTGGTTTCTCGTAGCATTTGAGTGGAGCATACGACGTGGGTATCGCGCACCGGCCGGGGTCAAGGAATGACATGCGGTTGACAGTTCGGTCTGGTGAAAAACACAAAATGTGAATAAATAGGTACATACGACATACGTTAATATCAGTTAGCAGTCAGCAGTATATACGGGGCCCCGGACAACGGGGGGCCCTAACGTGCGGAAGCAGAAGTTTATAAAATCTTCCTAATTTTTTAATGTATTTCAGAAGTCACATAAGTATTTTAACCTTTATCTTTGATAGCACCTATATGAGCTATGAAACTGAAACCACTATCAGTCGGCAGCACCTTATATCGAAGCACCAGGTTCTTTAAATAGACCAACATCGAAGAGTCTCCCTCGCTATTATCTCAGAAACCCGGGGATCCTCAGTAGTTTTTTTTTAAGGGGGGAAAATCATCAAATGACTGCTCCCGCTTGGGTGAGGCGGAAGGGAGTGTCAGACTCTTACTGATTAAAAACCACCCCGTTCCTTCTCCTGCACGTCGAGCCGGAGCCCCGGTTACCCGTTAGGTTCTCCGCGACTCCGAATCGGCATCGGCCCTATTGGGCCCCATCTGTGGTGGTCTGATGGCTCTTAGAGGCGCGCGCGGAACGCGATGCGCCGTACGCTCGAGTCTGTGTTTCTGGTCGGACGGGGAGCCACCCATGCTCGCCGTCCGCAGGCCCGCGCTTACGGTGGCCGGAGATCGTCCCGCGATCCCCGACGCCCGGTGTGTCCTTCGCGATGGCTGGGTTTCGAGGAGGCAGCGCTTCGCTGCCTCACGCGTCCCGCCTCCTCCTTAGCTAGCATGACTGCTTCGCAAAAGGAGGAGACGGCATCCCAGTCCCCCTCGCTCCGCATCATGGCCTGCACTAGGCCCGGACGCGAGAGGTCGCCATCGCCGATCACTTCCCTGAGGGCACGGCGGTGCTCAGCCCACGCAGGGCATTCTTCCATTGTGTGTTCCACCATCCTCAGTGGTAAAAGGTTGGTAACGTATGCTTTCTCTGATGTTGCGAGTGTCCATAAATAAGGGGCGCCGATTGCCTACCATCAGGTAATCCGTCTGCTCGATTGCCGTAGTACATAGTATTCTTCTGCGTACATCTTCGGAGGATAAATAAATAGCATTTACCTATGCATGTCTGTATGTATGTATGTAACAACTCACTCTCAAATGGTTGTTCAACGCAGTGGAACTTATGCTCTGGCTTGCAGGATTCTCTGATGGCGCAGGGTTTCGGTACGTAGTCGTGTCGCTGCGTGGTGATGTTCTGCATCGGGCCTTGTCCCCACATGTCGTGGTTACATGGCCTGATCGGCTGCGTTATGCACGTCGGATTCGGGAGGTATGAGAGCTGGAAGAAGGGATTAAATAATATCAAGTTATTGTATTCTTTGGCGAGTTTTGATGGGTTGTGAAATAAAGTTTAGAAGATTAATATATTCTAAATATATATTTCAGGGTGTTGTACAGCTCCTCTTTTATCGCTTCGCCCTGGACAGAGCAGTATCTAAGGGACTTTGAGGCCCAAATTTAAAGTTAGCCAAGAACAACGGTCAAGGTTTTTGGTCTTTTGAAACTTTTTTGCAATTAGTTGCGGTACCTACCTAAAATGGATTTTGATCTACAGTACGTCTTAGATATAAAAACTATATAGTGGTAAGTGCATCGTACCTTCTGTACAGTATCTCCTTCCATCTGTGCAGTGGAGGGTACCAGGTTCGACAGCGGTTTTATGGGCTGCGGTATGGGACACTTGGTTGGGAGGTAGCTGCGAGGTAGGAGGAGGTATTATTATAGGTAATATTTTGCTTAAAATACAGTTAAGCTCAAGATTGTCTCAATGGCGTCGAGCAGCGCCAGCTAAAACCGAAGTGTAAGTAGGTACCTGTTTTTATAAATGGTCTGAGTTTCAAAATTCTTGGACGAGGTGACAGGGTTGATGCAGCTATCAGGGATGATGGCACGTCGCCGGCAGTCACTTGCTGCGTCCAAGTAACTGTAAGAAACCGCGTATTAGAGGTAAAGTTTAAACTCACTAGGAAAAGTCTGGGGGTATTTACGTTTAAATAGAACCATTTGGTCAAGTGGAGCATTCGACTAAGTACTTAAGGTTGACGAAGTGCGTTTTAATGTCATTGGTGGCATGTGCTATTTTGGTTAGTTTGAAGGTAGTATAGCAATATATGGATATATCAACATACCTCATACCATAGGTGGTATTACTGTCCAACTTTTGACATGGCTTCTGATATTGTCCCTTGCAGGCCCATGGTAGCGGTTCTTTTGGGAGAATCTGAAAAATCAAAACACAATAAGTAGTTCGAAGCATTCTTAACATTACAAACGATTGTTATTTGCATTTCTGTGAAAACTTTAGATCTGCGAGCAGAGGGCTTAATAACGAGTTTGTTATGTCTAAAGTTATTGAATCGAGACCGCGTTCCGCACTTTGATTCGCCGGTTCCAACCAATCAGAGCGCCGAACGCGGTCTCGTTACGATTCTCGAAGTGCTCGGCTCTGAAGTGGCAATGGAGGATAACATCGTTAAAGTCGTAGGGAGTTAATGGATGCAAGTAGCGAGTGGTCGCTCGACGTAGAGGGCTGTAGGGGAGGGCTTTGTAAGCTTTGTCCTACAGTGGATGATTACCGGCTGATGATGTTGATTGAAAATTCGGCAGATCCAAGGGAGAAAACGGATTAGGAAGTATGTAGTACCTGATTGGGCATATAGCTCATCCTCTGTGTAGTGGTACCTTCCATCTTGGCTGCTGGACGCTCGTAACATCTCTCCGGGGCGAAAGACTTAGTCAGCTCGATCCTCTCCGGGGGTAAGTACGACAGCTTATTTATAGTGCGATCTGGGATAAAGCAGAGAGATTTGAATAAACGGTTTTTGAGTGCTTAGGAAAAGTATAATATTCATGCAGATTAGTTCATCTCGTTTGTATAATACATTGTCAAAGCCTCGTTAGCCGAGTGGTCGCAAGTGCGACTGCCGGGCAAGTGGTCTCGGGTTCGATTCCCGGGTCGGGCAAAGTATTACTGGGTTTTTAAAAAATTCTCAGTAGTAGCACGCAGTGTGCCCGGTATATGGCAATAGGCTCACCCCCTATTACATGGGACTCATAACATAAATAGTGAAAACTGGGTGTCACCCCTTCGGGGATAAGAGGTTATGTTTTTTATTGTCAAATCATTTTCTTATTAGTTGCTTTGCTTAGTGACCACACACTCGAAATACTGTCTCAATATTAAGAAAGTTTTTTACTCTCAAAAGGCTGTTCGACGCAGTGGAACTTGGGTGCAGGTTTGAAGCTCTCCCGTAACACGCAGGGTTTCGGTACGTAGTCGTGTCGCTGCGTGGTGATGTTCTGCATCGGGCCTTGTCCCCACATGTCGTGGTTACATGGCCTGATCGGCTGCGTTATGCACGTCGGGTTCGGGAGGTATGATAACTGGAATCAGAATAGGTTTCTAGTAATATTATTGAATATCAAGGAAAAACTGCATCGTTGGCCGAGTGGTCGCAAGTGCGACTGCCGGGCAAGGGGTCTCGGGTTCGATTCCCGGATCGGGCAAAGTACTACTGGATTTTTTAAAAAAATCTCAGTAGTAGCACGGAGTCTGGAATTGTGCCCAATATATGGCCCGGTATTTACCCCCTATTACATGGGACATGGACATGGGACATGGGACTCATAACATAAATACTGAAAAGTGGGTGTTACATTGTACAGTGGCTTAAGTGCCGTAATGTGCACGTCTGCCTACCCTTTCGGGGATAAAAGGCGTGATGTTATGTTATATTATGTTATGTTATCAAGGAAAAACGATATTTTTGACTGAGCAAAAATTTTTAGCTGATATAGTTTTATTATAGGTAGACAGGCCTTTGCCCTGCAGTGGGACGACCATGGCTAAAAATAAATAAATAATATAGTTTTAGAGTTTTTTTCTTCTCTTGTTTGTTAATTTTGAAATATTTCGGATACGAATAACTTTGTGGTCCAGGCCGTAAACATAATTACACTCAACAAAAAATCTTAGCCAGTTAGAGATAAGAGTCAAATTCTTTTGTGTCATTTTCTTCTTTTAAATTTCTACCTCTGTATACCAATCTACAGACAGACTAGAAACGAGACTTTACCTTTTGTACAGTACATCCTTCCATAGGCTCGCAGCTGGGCACGAGGTTTGGAGGTGGTTTCCTTGCCTCTCCACGCAAGTTGCGACACCCGTCCACCGGCAGGTAAGACAGCTTGTACGTGGTACACGACTCCACCGGGGCCGTCGGCCGCATGTAGCACCGACGCGGGGCATACGAGTCGGGGATGCGAGGCTGCTTGTAGCACTGAAATAAAAAAGAAGAATTGGTAATTATATTCCCTCTTTTTTTCTCCTTGCTACGGCATTCGTCGCGCAATGCTGTTGATGGTTCTAAGCCCCTGGTTTGTCTTAAAATTTACCTTAACAAACCTCGCTATAAATGTAGGTAAAGGAAATACTATTGAATGAGTATTTTCTTGAGTATAATAAGAAAATACTCAATAGTATTTTCTTATTCTCTTTAACTTTCTAGCTCATTCTGATTATTTTTTTTACCGTTTGAGTTTTTATTTTTATAGTTTCTGCAATTGATTACTCCATTTGTTTTGTTCAGTGTTTGGAAGTAGGTAAGCGCTACTGCTAGTGTTACCACTATTGAATTTTCTTCACTTAGATAAATATTCTATTGGAGTTTCGATTTCAGAATAGTAGCGATCTCAAACATACCGGTTTCACAATAGGTGGTTTCCCGCAGCAGCAAGTTCGACAGGGGCAGGGATGTTCCTGCTTCCCATCGATGGGCTTCCCGTCCCGCAACCCTGACTTGATACCCGCCGACATAGCGCATGGCGCCGCCGCCGGGCAGGGTATGCAGCACCTGGAACATATCACTTTAAATTTTTACTTGTTCTTAACGATTTAGGGTTTTAATTCGCTTGCATAGTTGGTGTGTTTGCCTTCTTAATTGATAATTGGGTGAGTACTAAGATACGTAAGCTATCGGACATGGTTGGACTGGTGCTGTCATAAACGTCATTGATTGCTAGAGCTGATAGCTTTATGTGATCTTTGGATACCGTAAAAGCTCTAATTAATCCCTGAATAAATATTGTATAGACAGAGCACCAGACCTATAGAAGGTGATATAAAATTCCCTTTTCACCAGTTTTGGTTGTAGATCCATGTAGGGTTGAGCACATTCCAGATTCGGTGCTATTAGTTACTATGAATTTAAAAAAAACAGAAGTCCCCAATATACATAACACTTTATCAGATCTGGCAATCGAATCAAAACTCCTTGTTTTGTAAGTAGTCGCATTTGCCTCACCGAATTGTATTTAACACAAAAATAAATCCACTACGGAAAGTCGGACGCAAGTTTGCAAACCTCACTGTACTGAAAAGTATCTTTTCAGCCTAATGACCTTGTCAAAAAGGTCATTAAAAACCGGCTGTTGACCTTGCCGAAAAGGTATATGAATAGCAAAATTCGATCGTTGTTCTTTTTATTGTCTGCCTTCATAATAGGGTCAGGTCAAGGACAAATTTAGGATAAGGTAAAAACTCCAAGCTAGGCTGATGTTCACTTTGTAAGGGATAAAATGGGTCACAGGATAGAACCATCAATCACTTTATTGCTGAGGAAATGTGTACCTTATGTCGATGGTTTTGGGAATTTAGATTGCTTGACGATTATTTCAGTAAAAAATGCGTGTAGACAGTTTGAAATCCAAATACTTTGCACTACCTACCACTCACAGAAAAGCATTGAGGAATGCTATGAGCCCCGTCGTGGCTTGAAAGAAGTCGGGTCTCCTCAAACAGTTATATTCAATATAGTCTTTTAATTGATTTAGCACATCTTTCATTACATGACATTACAAAAATTAAACATAACATCACGCCTTTTATCCTCGAAGGGGTAGGCAGAGGTGCACATTATACCACTGTACAATGTAACACCCACTGTTCACTATTTATGTCATGAGTCCCATGTAATAGGGGTGAGCCTATTGCCATATACCGGGCACAGTTCCAGACTCCGTGCTACTACTGAGAATTTTTTAAAAACCCAATAATACTGTGCCCGAACCGGGAATCGAACCCGAGACCCCTTACCCGGCAGTCGCAATTGCGACCACTCGGCCAACGAGGCAGTCTTAAACATATTTATCTTATCCGAAATTTGACATAGAGATGCGACGTAGTTCTTTGCCAGTTTACAAACAATCTAATTATAATTCAGTTGTAAAATTATTCAAGAGATAAAATTAGGAAGTTCAACTGTTATCATGTTATCCTTGACCTACAGACAACAGAATAATCTGAGAGTAATTTATCGTCAGTACTCATGTAGACTCGACGAGTGGTGTCAAAATAATTAAAAAAAAATAAGTGAATAGTGAAGTGCAACTTTAAAGAGGTTGGGTAAGTCCCTAACAATAACTTTGATAACAAAAATGATATGATAAAGTTGACATTGTTGATAACAAATGCATTTTTATCTAAACAAGTACCAGGATAGCAGATTTAATAGTACATACATATATTATGCATTGTAATTGCAAGATGCTTGCATTTTAGTGATAATTTGATGATGTAATTTTTATGGTTTTTATGATAAGATATTTACATTCGTGTTTCTATAGGTTTTAGATTTATTATCAAGATAATTCAAGATACCTAGCTATAGTATGCGGTTATTAAAATTTTATAACTGTACTGGTTAGGTTGATGATTCTTGATGAAACGAAAGAGGTATGTAAGGATCGTAGCAATTGGCGTTCCATAGTCTCTGCTCACCCCCATGGGAGACAGGCGTGAAGTTATGAACGTATGCTGGTCAGATAAGTAACTAAAAAGGGACGTAAACAATAAAAAATTACTTACTCAGGCATAATTTAGTTATAATCCTTATCCTTAAGTCCACTGTATAAAAAAAATCTTAAACAAAAACTAAAATCTAATGAAAATTAACTGAAAATAATTTATAAAGACATTTCAGTCTAAAAAATAGATCATAGAAAAATGACAGTTTTGAAAAGTTAGCTTTTGTTTGTTAGTATTTTTTTGATGTCAATCTAGTCGGTTGGTTGAATATTCTTTTTTCGAAAACCAAAAAGTTTTTACCACAACTTATTTAACTTTTTGAACGTCTTGTTAAATTATGTTTTACCTAGCTTTTTCGCCCCCGTTCCCGTGGATAAAAAGTATGTGTCCTATTCTTACCATCAAGCGAGATGGTGGTCAAACGTCGACCTATAAAGTGTAAAAAAAAAGACATAACCTACCTATGTTCCAAATTTCATCTCTATCCCGTTATCCGTTTTTACTTACTGGATTGAGTAAACAAATTAACTCGCAAACTATTTAATAACATTCGTATTCATAATCGTCGTCAACATTAAAAAAAATACTTAATATTCAATTTTATATTTTTTTATTCAATTAAGTTTAACTGAACCTTATGAACCACTATTTTGTTGTATCGTGTACATTAAAGATAAATAAATAAATAAAAAAAAATACGTAAAAATATTACCTACTTACCTACACGATACTTTTTAGCATTAAAATCCATTATAAATCACATTTTTACACTTTCACCAAATGTACAACTGACAACGTATTTAAAACAGTTGCAGATTACACTGCTGTGATATTAACTGCGGTTCATCGTGTTCTACTGCCGAATTTAACCTAGATCAGTTCAAAAGCAACTACACACGTCAAGGTCTTTCTAACTAATAATAAAATCCACCCAAACCATAGATATACGAAGAATTTCGCTTTAAGTTTCCTTGTGAAAATAACAAAGGATACTCTTTTCTGAAGAGTACAACCTGCTTGTCTTCAAGTCTCGAGTCAATAGGTTGCTTATGGGCAAGCGTGCTTCATCGTAGGCTGCATCATTACATACCTAAATATGCATAATTACCTTAGATAGAGAACATTCGAGATGGTGGAAAAATTATGACACACTGCCAAAAAAAAATTAAGTGGGATAGCGTCTCGAGTGAATAAATTGCGGTAATGGTATAGGTTCAGTTGAATAGGGCAGACGTCCTCTATCGTAGGCCGCATCATTGCTTACCACCATTCGAAATAGTAGACAAACTTTGACATATTGTCAAAAAAAAATTAAGTGGGGCAGCTTAATCGATAGATCAATGAACATAACGACTACTATTGTCTTAAATCGCCAATGCAACAATTGATATCAACTTTAACAACACATAACAATTTCATGCTGAACTATTATAGTGCACTTTAAAATATTCAGTCAGTTTGTCAGTGATCGTTACTGTCTACTAGAAGAATAATAGTTGTGAGTGTACTCTAATCTACTGCAGATAGAGAACAAAAGAATTCTAATATATAACAAGACAGCAAATTCCGTAGCAAATCGGTAGTATATAGGTAGTTATTGGCGTTACTAGAACCAAGGTAAACCAGCGCATTGCACCATAGATCGCGAGCTACGTCTATTTAAATGTTTGTTTAGATGTCTAGTACTTACTTATGTCGATCAAGTTATTAAGACGTGATTGTTTAAGACTTTGACTGCCAATAAAAAACTGTTGAAGGTAAATCCTCCGCTAACGCTGGTCACCGGTGACCCCCATGGCGTTTAACGTGTTAATTATATTCATTCATATTTCGTGAAAAAATAAAACTGAACGTCGCCTATCCTATCTTACTTAGCTACTAATATTATAAATGCGATAGTTCGTGAAGATGGATGATATGGTACATGAATGACTGTACCAGGTACTATGTATGTTTGTTATTCTTTCACTAAAAACGAATATACTAATTTGGATAAAATTTGGTACAGGGATAGCTTGAAACAACACATGGGATAATATTTAGCCTGGAAACGCGGCCGACGACGACGCTGGCAAAATCTGGTAATTAATATTTCGACCGACCAGGAAATCGCGGAACCCCATACTCGTCGATAAGGCACTCTAAATATAAGTACTTACTAATAAATTGTACATATAGGATTAATGTACTAAGCTATGATAAGCGATGCAACTTTGTTCGACGTCCTGAGTTAGTATCGTAACCTTCGTCGCCCTGTTTACACGCATCCAAGGTTAGTGCATGCATCTTAAATACTTTTTTAAATATTTATAGATGAGTTATGAATAAACTAACCAAACATATGGTTAATGTATGTCGTGTCTGTTTTAGTGTATTTTCTGTTGTGTATTTGTCTAACTTCTAAACGACTGAACCGATTTGGATTAAATTGCGATTTTCAATAGTTGGATAGTTTGAAAGGATTGGTGACGGGAAGGTTTGTTGTTATCCATTATTTCATGAACCATTACACGTTTTTTTTTTAATTTTTCGTTGCGGATTTATATTCAGATAGGGCCTCCTCAATTATTTCCAGATCGGCAGTTTGGTTTCAAACACAGATTGGCACCAGGACCAATTATAAACAATTGCTTCAATGTATGAGCAACAGCTCTCGGTCTTTGACTCATTTGTGACACTTTCGATCGACTAATTTTTTTATGCCATAAGCCGCTAAACGACCAAACGGATCACCTGATGGTAAGCAATCGGCATCGCCTATGGACACCTGGAACACCAGAGGCGTCACAAGTGCGTTACCGGCCTTTTGGGGATTAGGAGTTTGAGGATCGTTGAGGATTCAGTTGACCTCCGGTAACCTCACTCACACAACGAAACACAATGCAAGCGTTGCTTCACGTTGGTTTTCTGCTCGGCCGTGGTATTACTCCGGTCGAGCTGGTCCGTTCGTGCCCAAGCATGGCTCTCCCACATTTGTTGAGATAATCAAATGCCACTGAATTTTTAGTTGTGTTTAAAGCCAAGAATAAATCAGAAGACTAGGGGACAAATGTAGTCGCCGAGAACTAAACGGGGCTCCGGCTCAAAGTACAGTAGTAAAAACGGGTTGGTTTTTAAGTCAGTAAGAGTCTGACACTCCCTCCCCATCTCATCCAGACGGGAGAAGCCATTCGATGATTTTCCCCCCTTCAAAAAATAAAAAAGGGACAAATGTCCTGCGATACGTGTTGCTAGCAACGTTGGGTGAAGTAGCGCGACGAGACTTTGATCGACATGTCTGGCAACAGCAACATCGCTGTGGACATAAGGCGCGCGTTCTCAAAGTCAAAGTCAAAATAATTTATTTCATTTAGACCAGGAAGGCACTTTTGAACGTCAAAATAAAATATTTAAACATTAAATACATAATATCACGCCTTTTATCATTTTGCCTATTGTAGGCGGAGGTGCACATTTTGCTACTGTACAATGCAGCAACCACTTTTCACTATTAAATAAATATTAAATAATAAGAAAAATATGTCAGTCTGTAGGTCAGTCCTCTAGTGAAGCTATTTGCTCGTTCCAAAGTGTAGATATGACGACATGTGTCGCTAATATATGTATGTCGTAGGGCGTTTCCCCCTAGTACTTACATCCTTGGCTTAAATATAGTTCTATCTCCACAAATTCTTTGTAAAATGACAGAGACGGCACGATATTTAAGGACAAATTAAAATTGTAGCCTCAGTATTCGAGTGTCACTGTCTTATAGTGATTTTAAATTTCTGATCACGAGAATCTTCAATTTACCTACCTACTGCTTGAACAAACTAAGTACCCAGTACCCAGTACCCACTTTGATATTTCAGTTTTGAGAGCAACCATATCAGCGTAACCACACTAGGATCATCTCCTGTATCGTGTGGGTGCATTTACAAACTCACATATTTACCTACATGACACCCAGACCCAGAACAACAATCTGTTGATCGCACAGGGAGTTAATTCCGTGTAGGAATTGAACCCATTACATGTTGCGCTGCAGCCGGTTGCCCAGCCACTGTGCCAACCGTGCAGTCGGTGGTCCATGCAACCAATATATGGTTTGGTTGTAAATAAATGCTTTGACATTGACTTTGACTTCTACGAAAAGGTCTATCATGAATTTGGTCGATCGGTATTATTATCTAAAAGTGCATACTCCTTATCAATATATTCCGTTAATTTTTAAGGTGGATATCAGTCGTTTGAGTATTTATCAATGCATTTTATTGATAAGATTAAAGATATATGTATATTATATTTGCACACGTGTTTATATGTGTAATATGCATTCGATTTAGGTACTTATCTTCCTTTTTATGGGATACTAGCTGTTACCCGCGACTTCGTCCGCGTGAAATAACGACTTCTGTATAAATTGGGTTTTTTAAATTAGTCTTTGTCAAGGTATATTCTATGGCTGTACAACTGGAACAAATATCATCACAATCGATTCAGTACCTAGATTATATTTATTGAGAAATGAATTTATTTTCGTGGTTTCTAAAATAAACAATCCCATAGAGGTTTTACCCGTATAGTGCCCGTCTCGTGAAGTTTCACTATTCTATGTTTGCAAATCAATGTTGTATCGCATTTCAATCAAATAGATATAGTGATTTTAACAGCACAGTTCCCGGTTTCGTGGGTTTTTCGGGTTAAAAACTTTTAGATGGCCTTTCCCGGGTCTCAAACTATCGCTGCGCCGAATTTCACCAAATAGGTTCAATGGTTTAAAAGGTAAGAGCCCCTCTTTATTTCAACGTCCTTGGTCCTGGTTTTTTAGCGCATAGTTTCCGTCATTTTGGGATTTCCTCTCTCCTATAATGTGACCTGATATGTACCGGTGCGACGTGCGTTACTATCGCAAACATTTAAATGAAAAAATAGGTATTCTGATATTAGGTTAGTTACATAAGATACATGTACTTTAATGTTGATATTAATGTCCTCTATAAGATTTAATACATCCCTTGGCTCTATTGTCCATAATTTCCACAGCGTAATCAATACCAGTAATATAAGGAGTTTTTTTGGTAGTTTTTCACACATCGGGTTGTCATTACCTAAAGGAGATTTTTTTTGAGGCCGGAAAATCATCCAATCACTTCTCCCGCCTTGGGTTAGGTGAGAGGGAGTGACAGATTCTTACTGACTAAAATCCACTCCGTTCCTACTCCTGCTCGTCGAGCCGGAGCCCCGTCAACTCGTTAGGCCTCCCGCGGCACCGTATCGAGCATCAGCCCTACTGGGCTCCATCTATGATGGTGTCATGGCTCTGTAAGGCGCGCGCCGTATGCACGGGACTGGTTCTGGTCGGGTGGCGAGCTACCCTTGCTCTTCGTCTACAGACCCGCACTTACGGTGGCCGGTGAGAGTGTCTCCCGCGACGGCTGGGGCGTGAGGAAGTTCATTCCCTCACACGCTCCGCTTTCTCCTTGGCAAGCATAACTGCTTCGCAGAAGGATGCGACTGCATCCCAATCCCCCTCGCTCCATGGCCTGAACCAGAGCCGAACGCGAGAGGTCACCGTTTCCTACATCCCTGAGAACACGGCGGTGCTCAGCCCATGCAAGGTACACCGCCACGGTATGCTCCACCGTGTTCTCCGGGCGGTCCTTGCATTGATGGCCTCTCTAAAGCTAAAAGTGTTTAAAGAGGGGTCTTTCCGCTGCAATGACAGCGAGCCCAGCCCTCGGTTACCTAAAGGAGTGTTTCGCTGTGTAAGTGAGGTTACCGGAGGCCCAATTACCCCTCCCCCAGCCCCCCCAATCCCTAACAATCCTCAAATTACCAATTCCCAAAAGACCGGTAACGCACTTCTAGCACTTCTGGTGTTACAGATGTCCATGGGCGGCGCAGTGATCCGTCTGCTCGTTTACCGGCTTATCCCATAAACAAACAGCAAACTATCATAGTGAATTTGGCCTTGACGGTCTAAAATGAAAAGGACTAATATTATTTTTTAGCTATGTGCATTTAGCTAGTTTTTTTGATATACATATAAAAAATACGAATTCAAGTAAACTGAAAATATTTTATTCGTGGTTTTATCTCTTTAGACTGCTTTCAACCTCTTTGCATACCTTAATATTAATACCATAGTATAAAAAAAATCTATGACACATTGACTTTGTAAACTCACTTGTCACACAAATGTCAGATGACTTAAGAAATGTATACTAATAATATAAATTTGTATGTGCTTGTTTGTTTGTTTGTCCGTATTTCACAACAGAACGGAGTCAGGAAGGTTTTTGATTTGAGATAGTTGAAAAGATGGAGAGTATCATAGGCTACTTTTTGTCTTTTTTTAACCCCCTTCCACTTCCGTGAAACAGAGGTGAAAGTTTGTATGGGGTATTTTGCAATTTTCAATGTGGAAAGCTAACAATTGGTATGGGTTATTGTGACCAGCATAGAATCGTGCATCATTTCATTTTTTTATTGTAAATCCTTCCCTCACTCCATTAAAAGAACGCGAGAGAAGCCGCAGACAGAGGCTAGTCTATGAATAAATTGTATTCAGTCAATTGAATTCGTATTTTGTCTTTAAAATCCCTGATCCCTGATGCAGCTGAATACTAATATTATTCCTTGAAAACCCACAGAACTTCATTTTTATATGTTGATGCCAAAATATATTATGAAAGTAGGACGTCATAACAATTACAAATCATCAGGTTGGTTACCATAGTAATGTTACCTGTCAGATATCCGTTTTCAGGTTTTCAGATAAATCGTAATAATTATTCTTACAACAACCCCTTTTTCGCGATAAAAAGTAGCCTATGTTTTATCTCGGGGTCTAGAATATCTGTATACCAAATTTCATTCAAATCCGTTCAGTAGTTTTGGCGTGAAAGAGTAGCAGACAGACAGACAGACAGAGTTACTTTCGCATTTATAATATTAGTTAGGATTTTTAATAACACTGACGTATTAAATGAGTTTACAAATTGTCTGATACGAGTGCAGTCACAGAAACACAAGGACCTCTGCAACATCGAGAGAATCTGCAAAAACATAATTCACTATTTTTTTAAAGAACCTCATACTTTTGACTTGGTAAACTCTTCTTGGTTTAAAACTCGTGTGGTATTTTTTACCATCAGGTGATCCGCATGCCCATACACCTCCTATCGCTACGTCCTACGTGAGCGATCTAGACGCGAATGCGAAGCGGTGCGGCGCTGTGCGAAAACAACGAACTGTCGAAACCTATTGAAGTGTCCTATGTGTCATATACGTCCGTGGGATGCGTGTGGAGCGCCGCGATATGACGTAGACGCGATCAGTTGGTTTGATATTTTCGCGCGAACTGTCATATTTGTATGCGGTGCTGTCAAGTCTTTGTTTGGTTATAATGAAACAAAAACGAAGCGAAACGATCCGCATGCACATACGACATGCGTCGCATCGCACCGCATCGTATTGAATTCGCGTGTCACCGCTTCATAATCGCGTTCCCTTCCAGATCGCTCATGCAGGACCCAGCGTATCGGATAGGTCCATATAAAGATTGTTTGCAAGGAATTTGGAGTTTTATGTACTGGACTTTAAAGTTGTATTTTTGTTTTAGACAAGCTAGAAGATGAAGTGCGATTGTGACTACGTGGTTACGGGTAAAGAGTCGTTGGCAGCGCATTATGACAACTGTCGATTATTGTGGGATGAACTGCATCCAGGAAAACCATGCCCCAAGTAAGTATTTGTAGGATCTTGACTTAGCAATGATATGTTTTTTCTATGTAGAATAGGCCAGCAATCGAGCTGACGTAATACCTGATGGATGGACCATGGGATTTCTAACTTAACAGTAACTTGATCTAATAATATCGAACGCTATTTAAACTTGAATACCTATGTATGTGCATATACGATTCATTTTACCTTGTTTTCCAAAATACATAATATCAAATTACTACACATCTATCTATAACTTGATAGTTTTTTAAGAATCTTATTATTTTAAAAAACATTTTAACCGTCTGACTGCCTCGTGGCAAGGGGTCTCGGGTTGGATTCCCGGGTCCGGCAAAATGATACTGGGTTTTAAAAAAATTCTGAAATTGTGCCCGGTATATGGCAATAGGCTCACCCGCTATTATATGGGACTCATAACATAAACAGTGAAAAGTGTGTGTTTCATTGTACAGTGGCATAATGTGCACCTCTGCTTACCCCTACGGGGATAAAAGGTGTGATGTTATATTTTAACTGTTAGATACTCCGTTGAAAAAACCACGTGGCCGATTACCTAGCCGATGGTGTGACCAAGTTGCCAACTACACTGGACTCTCTGTTACGAAAGCCTTGAGAGAAGCCGAAAACAGGACACGATGGAGGGAAATAACACAGAGAGCAATGAAGGCCTTTCAGGGGCACGACCTTCAGAAATGAAGCAAGCGATCGAGAAGAAGATACTCCGTACTTGTATTTACTTACGAACTTACCATAGTCCTTTCATTAGACGAGATAAGCGAAAACTGCGCTCTACATAATATCATGTATTCTGATTAATTCACGAATCAGTGATACCTTGATATAATCGAACTAATCTATACTTATAATAAATCTGTAGAGAGGTCAATTCTGTACATAAAATATATTTAAAAAATAACTATCAAGGGGTGGTTAGGGATCGCCACTGATGCCAAAAATGCAATCAGTAAAATTTTTGTCTGTCTGTCTGTCTGTCTGTATGTTCGTTATGGAAACAAAAACTACTCGACGGATTTTAACGAAATTTGGCACAATTATTCTTCATACTCTTGGCCAGGTTATAGTATACTTTTCATTACGCTACGATCAATAGGAGCAGAGCAGTGAAGGGAAATATTGGGAAAACGGGAGAAGTTACTCCATTTTTTAAGCTTCCGTCGCGTGTGCAGGCTTATAGGTTAAAGCTGCATAGAAATCATGTACGACGGAAATATTCTCCTTAAAATTATATAAAAAATATTCCTCGACAACATATGCCTATCTTTTATGGTTGACTCACAATAACACGTGAAACTCCCGATAGCTTAGCAATTCGGTGATTTCTGATTGTATTTGTCTACTCTAACGTTTACAATACTCATTCATAGACTTTACGCTGTAACCGAAACGCCAATGGTTGAGATTCGCTATTATAAATGAAAATATGTGAGTTTATGTGTATGTTTGTTACTCAGTCATATTAAAACGACTGAAGGGACCGGAATGAAATTCGGAACAGAGGTAGATTATGGTCTGAAGTGATACATAGGCATTTTACCCCTGGGATCGCGGGCGAAGCCGCTGGCAGAAGCTAGTCTTATATATATATAAAAGAAAGTCGTGTTAGTTACACCACTTATAACTCAAGAACGGCAGAATATATTTGGCTGAAATATGGTAGGGAGGTAGCTTAGAGCCAGGAGACCGACATAGGATACTTTTTGACCAACATTTTTTTTTTTACTTTTTACCGAAAATCACGAACGGGGACGGGAAAAAATGGGATTACGCGTACGAAGTCGCGGGCAGAAGCTAGTAAATATATAAAAAAATATTGTCTCATTTCAGAAATGCAGATGGTACTATAAAGTTGTTAAACAAACATCTGGACAACCTGGATGTGGACATTCTGTATCATCTGGGACTAGACACAAAGACTTACGACCTTCCTGCAATGTTTGGAGATGTCAAAGTAAGTGCATTCCTAACCCCATGGGAGACAGGCGTGAGGTTACAATTACAACCCATATACCCCCAAGCGGTCACCGGTGACCGCTCTCCACTAACTACATTATTTCTTATTTCCAATGTTTTTTTATGTATGTCCGCGATTATTTCGCGTTTTGCTTAACCAATTCTGATGCAGTTTTCAGAAAATGTTAGTTAAGAGCAAGTTCTATCGTGAGACATACTAAATTAACTAAAATTACAGGTAACTCACGTGAATATACGGAGACTAAATTAACTAAAATCGTAGGTTACTCACGTGAATATACTGAGAAAAGCTCTACTGGTTTCGAACCACAGAGGGGTTCTTTCTCATGAGAAGCGTGCGCGATTACGGCGATGTCGCGCAGCTCACTTACAGGAGTGCTTTTCTCAGTATATTCATGTGAGTAACCAGTGATTTTAGTTAATTTGGTATATTAAATTAACCGACTTCAAACAAAGATGATCGAAACCGGGTTTTTTAAGTATAGTTTTGTATGTAATGTAATTATTTATAGATTTGAGATGTCGGATCCGGATTAAAGTACGCATTTGAGATATCATAATAGTTTCTTTTTTACGACCATTATGTGCTTTTAAAATTATTGAATATTAATAAACTATCGGTTTTCTATTTTAGTTTTGTTTTTATAACATTAATGTGTATATTAAAATTATTTTCCAGTTCGTCTGTATGGGTGGCACAAAGGTGCGCATGCGTGAGTTTGCAGAGTACATGCGGGAAGTGTTGGACCTGCCGAACAAAGGAGCGAAGCTGGTGAACCTCACCAAGCACTCGCAGAGATACGCCATGTATAAAGTTGGACCTGTCCTCTCCCTCAGTGTGAGTATTTATTTATTACAGTCACAATGGTTGAAAAGAAAAACCAATTAAAGTAACTGGACACATTAAAAAAGTAAACGATCAAATAATAAAACTAGAACAAAACATACACAACGAACCAGAAGAGTAAAACTTATTTAAAAAATGGTAGCATTCATAAGTTCCTCTCGCAGTACTTCAGGCATTCCGACAAAATCTCCTTCCATCCGTCCGCAAACAGATCACTAGTTGGATTGGAATCCAAGAGACCATTGAGCGCGGCCAGAGTGCGAGGAATCAGTACTTTAGCACGTGCTACGGTACGACATGAGGGTACGGCAAACAATCTGTGGTTTTTACCCCGGCAGTAATTGTAATAATTGCAGTAATTGAGTATAAGTAACTGTGTATTAAATGAACTTTATCTACATACATACATACATAACTTCACGCCTGTCGGCTGTCTCCCATGGGGGTAGGCAGAGAGTATGGAACGCCAATTACTACGATTCCTACATACCTGTTTCGCTTCATCAACAGTCATCAATCTTTTCAAGCATGCTAGTCAGTTAAGGGTACTGTTAATTTAATCCTTCTTTAATATATCGCCAATCTGGTCTGTATTTTTTTTAAGGGGCGAAAATCATCGAATGACCTCGAGTGTCAGACTCTTATTGACTAAAAACCATCCCGTCCTTCTCGTGCAATTCGAGCCGGAGCCCCGGTAACCCGTTAGGTTCTCCGCGACAATTTGGTCCGTCTAGGGCACCCTCTACCGACACGACCCCATCCATATTCGCTCTGTATACTTCTTTCGTGTAAAATGGGGTGGATAGGGATCGAGAGATGAATAGAGACAGAAGAGGGGTGAATAGATATTGGGAAATTCTTCATAGTATCGATTCACCCCTCTTCATTCCCTATTCACCTCTCGATCCCCATTCACCCCATTTCACCGTACTCTACTTTCACTAACATTAATATTATAAACAGGAAAGATTAGATTTTTTGTTTGTTTGTTTGAACGCGCTAATCTCAAGAACTTGTTCCAAATTCAAAAAATCTGAGTGAAGGCTGTAGGCTATACTACTCTGACCATATCAAATGATATATCTATATCAAAGGTTGACTGGGAGAAAATGCCATATGACATTATGTACCTTATTTTGTGTGCATTAAAGTGTTAATAAAAAAAAAAAACTATGGTTGTATAGTTGGTAGCCTTAAGTTTGCCCCTGGTAATCTGTGACAACGTCGTGAGGACTGTATTTATTAAATAAGGACATATTATATACCACCTACCTACAGCCTGATATTAATAACAGATCAAGTCCTTTAATCTAGGTTTATGGTTCAGCTTACAGAATTAATTAATCCAAAGATAAGAGATAGTCATGGGGATTTGTAATATTATTGCATACTTGTTTGTGACATCGCTTGTAACTTGTCCCGTGAATATTCATACTTTGTGAAGGAAGATAAAGAAGGAATTAGCACTTTGTAGTTTTCGCTAACTCCCATTTTTTGGGAGTCCTTTTCTCAGTATATTCAGGTATATTAATCTTATACTATTATATAAAGCTGAAGAGTTTGTTTTTTTGTTTGAACGCGCTAATCTCCGTAACTACAAGTCTGATTTGAATATTTTTTTTTGTGATGGATAGCACATTTATCGAGGGTGGCTATAGGCTATAAAACATCACGCTACAACCAATAAGAGCTGAGTAGAGCGTGTGAAACCTTCGGTCTTTCGGGTAAAACTCAGTATCTATTATTTAAATAAATATCTATGTTAAATATTCAAGTAGCAATTTCTTTTTCCAGCATGGCATCGGTATCCCTTCGATGACCACGGCCCTTCAAGAGGTGATCAAGTTGATGTACTACGCGAAGGCCAAGGACCCCATATTCTTCAGAGTAGGCACGTCGGGAGGTCTCGCTATACCAGCTGGTTCAGTCGTCGTCTCGTCTTTTGGAGTAAACGGCAATTTGGAGAAGACCTATGATATTGTAAGTACTTATTAACATTTTGTTTTGATTTGTGTTGCATTATCGGATAGGAATATTAGTAATAATTACAATAAAATTATTATAAGATAAATAACAGCCTTGTAACTATTTTGCTGCTGTGGGTCTTTGTTTGACTCGTTTCTATCTTATTATATGGACATATAATAAATCTGTAGAGAGGTCAATTCTGTACATACAATATATTTAAAAAATAACTATCAAGGGGTGGTTAGGGATCGCTACTGATGCCAAAAATGCAATCAGTAAAATTTTTGTCTGTCTGTCTGTCTGTCTGTATGTTCGTTATGGAAACAAAAACTACTCGATAGATTTTAACGAAATTTGGCACAATTATTCTTCATACTCTTGGGCAGGTTATAGTATACTTTTCATTACGCTACGATCAATAGGAGCAGAGCAGTGAAGGGAAATATTGGGAAAACGGGAGAAGTTACTCCATTTTTTAAGCTTCCGTCGCGTGTGCAGGCTTATAGGTTAAAGCTGCATAGAAATCATATATAACGGAAATATTCTCCTTAAAATTATATAAAAAATATTCCTGGACAGCATATGTCTATCTTTTATGGTTGACTCACAATAACACGTGAAACTCCCGATAGCTTAGCAATTCTGTGATTTCTGATTGTATTTGTCTACTCTAACGTTTACAATACTCATTCATAGACATTACGCTGTAACTGAAAGGCCAATGGTTGAAATTAGCTTGACTCGATATTATAAATGAAAATATGTAAGTTTATGTGTATGTTTGTTACTCAGTCATATTAAAACCACTGAAGGGACCGGAATGAAATTCGGAACAGAGGTAGATTATGGTCTGAAGTGATACATAGGCATTTTACCCCTGAGATCGCGGGTGAAGCCGCTGGCAGAAGCTAGTATGGACATAAAATGAGGACTGCATTTCATGACACTTTAAAATCTTCGGGAAACGTAAGGCGTGATTTCTTGTCCAGTGCTAAAGTGGCACAAGAATGCAATAAAGAGTGGCAATAAAACCATTACAATTTAGATGACAATTAGTATTCAAGTGAGCCGCACGTGCACTGTTATTGACTAACCTACGTCAAACGAATGATCGAATGCATTAAAATCATCTGATTATCTTTAGACTTGACTTGTACAGTGGCCAGCAGATCTACCCACTTCGTTGGATAGTCGACTTTATGTCAATATTATTAAGTTGGTAATGTAATGGAGAAATTTAACAGAAAAGGATAGATTGACTTGCTGGCTTGTTCTAGAGACAGTCAATATCTTTGTTAGGACGAACAGGTCAAGTTTAGGTTATCGGACGTTGTTTGAAATTGATAGTTACTGTCAATGATGTGAGAATGTATAGGGAAGCTGCTATGTCCTTGACATAATTTAAGTATATGAAATTTACAATAAGTATGTTTCCTTTCTTTGTCAGAACTAATCGTTCCAAATTATCTACACTAACAACTGGGAATGAATATATTTGTTTTTTTCTTCTGAAGGAATAAATTTGCAGCATCGCCCTCCTGTTCATAGATAACGGCTCTTGTATCAGAGATGCGTCATAAAACACACACACGACATGCAAAAAACTACTCGAACCACACTCGACATAATACGTTTTGCTCCTCGACGGAGCATCCTCAGTAGTCGCTGACTCGGCGGCTTCCGAGATTTATTCCCTCAGCGGATACTAGCGGATAAAAACTAAATAATGGGAAATTACTAAATAATGAGAAATTACTTTTTAGTGTAGCATGGATTTCCGCAAAGTAACGCCTAATTCTATTCTATATACCAAATTATCCAGCTTATTTTGGAATCCTAGTTGAGAATTTCGTTTGATTTCAAATGCAGAAACAGATTTACCGTCGTCATTGTTTAAAAATTTTGACCAAGCCTATTTCGGAAATAACTTTTTTATTTTAGTAAAGAAAGTCTCATTTACTCAACATTAAATCCTCTTTTCCAAATTATTCCTATAGTTTGTAAATCATACAGACGTTTTAATCTTAAAACTTATTTGTGTATTCCAGCCAGTATTAGGCAAAACTCGCAAGCTGCCAGCATTTCTGGACCAGAGAGTTTGTCAAGAAGTTCATTCCTTGAGCTCTGATGACGATGGCTTCGGTACTTACATCGGAGGAACCATGGGAGCTGATGACTTTTATAGAGGTAATATACCTTTCTGTATTTGATTGTTAAAACTATTAGGAGATTGTCGTGAGAGGACGGTAGAGAAAAATAAAATACATTTTTGTTAATATTCATGTGTAAAGAAGGCCAGCAGCGGACTATTACGAACTTTTCTTCCTTTATTAGTTAGCCATAAGGGTGGTTTTCAATAACCAACTCAGGAAAAACTGATAATTACGTTTACAAGTATAAATATTATTACTAGATTTGTTTGAAGCTTAGCGGTGTCTCGTGGCTCTGATTCTGAGCATTTGTAATACCGCAAAATTGAATAAAATCTTAATCAGAAAAACTGAAGAGCCATGCTTCGGCACCAATGAGCCGGTTTGATCGGAGTGATACCACGGCCTCCTCCCCAATCTCTCTAATCTCGGAATCTTCAACAATCCTCTATGTCTAATCCTAAAAGGCCGGTAAGTACCGCACTTGTAACGCCTCTGGTGTTTCGGGTGACCATGGGCGAGGCCGATTGCTTACCATCAGGCGATCAGTCTGTTAGTTTACCGGCTTATACTATAAAAAAAAAGATTCTGACCTCTTATTAGACAATCTTGTTATTAAACCGACAAAGTGACTTTAGATAAGAATAAAGTTCATCTCTTATAACGTTTCACTTTCTCGTTTCAGGCCAAGCGCGTCTCGACGGTCCTTTCTGCGACTATTCTGAGGCGGACAAGATGGCGTTCTTAAGGTCTCTGACTGACATGGGCGTCCGGAACATAGAGATGGAAGCTACCGCCTTCAGCGCTTTCACTAGAGAAGCAGGGATCCGCGCCAGTATAGTTTGCGTCACGTTCTTGAATAGACTTCAAGGCGATCAGGTTTGTGATGCTGCGGAAAGATGGCGTTGTTTTAAAGTTTTTAATGTTTTGGGGATTTTTTGTAGATGGCATGTTTGTTGTGAGTTTGTTAATGTCAACAACAACTTAACTCAACAACAATAACTTTGTTTTTTTTCTTAATGTGATTTCATTTGAGTGTTAATTTTCTACTTCCTTGATATCCATAATTTGGTTCGTTGCCGCCCTGATATCAAAGCGAAAGAGTTGTTTCCCAAGATTTTCGTTCGTATTTACCAATGACGTTGAAATTTTTCAATGTCCTCGGTATTAAATCACTATTCGTTAACAAGTTTCCGAGCCATGAACGGCAAAGCAGATATGGCTTTTAACTGCATAACAATAAATTAAAAAGGCTTAAACGCCACTTTTATACTCAGACAGCCTATAAAATATTAACCTTTTTATAAGAAGTTGTTTCTGTTTGCAGGTGACTCCAAGCAAAACTACGCTAACAGAATGGCAGAGACGGCCTATGCTTGTGGTCGGCAGATACATCGCGCACTATTTCAAGAAGAATTGAAACTAACGACGATAAAGAGGGCATCAGAAAAAAGTAAAAATACGAAATCATAACATAAATCTATGTATAAATAAAATTGATAATAAATATTTTTTAAATATACTTTAGTTTATATCGGATAAAGTCTTCAAAATATCGATTCTAATTGAATAGCCCGTGACAGACCACAGCTGGATACTGTCAGCAATAAATAAAATAAAATAAAAATCAGCAATAACACATAGCAAATAGCAGATTGTTTTTTATGGAATAGTAGGCAAACGAGCATACGGATCACCTGGTGGTAAGCGATCAGCGCCGCCCATGGACACCTTTTAAAAAGGAATACGCTCTTTTTCTTTTGAAGGTTTGAAGGTCATATCGGTTCGGAAATACCGCCGACGACAGATTATTCCACAGGTTTGCTGTGTGAGGCAGATATCTTACTAATAAATATACATGCCATAGTTTGTGAGTGAGACTGAGTTTGTGTGCATGTTTGTTACTTAATAACATCAAAACGGCTGAAAATATGAGGATGACATTGGGTACAAGTGGATTATGGTCTCTGATAACACATAACACATACTTTAAATCCTTCGGAACCGCGGACGTAGCCACTGACAAAAGCTAGTAGCAAATAATAAATCTAACCGAATGTATGAGCCATGGAACAAACATTATGGTAGAGCCATTCTTCCGCTGTTACTGTGAGAGCGGCCGTCCCGCCGCGGCTACTAATGAATTTTTGTTGGTAGCTGCGCCGACCGCTCGTAATCGGTCCACTCGTAATTGGATCGACAGTAATTGTTCCGTATATAGCTTAACGGATGAAATTATAAATAAGTTATTTATAATTTCATCCGTAAAAATTACCGTGTATGACTTTTCATGTTTATTATGCGTACGATGAAATGTGTAAAAATACTGGAGGATGGCTATTATATGTGCTTTAGAGGTAGTCTATTTAATTAAAAGCCCTGGTGCCTATTTCTAAGTGCTAGTAATGAATATTAGTGAGGTAAGTATCCCAAACTACCTAAAAAATCTGTCATATTAGAAATGATTCACCCATTCATTCCATTCATGTTACCTTTTTAGGCCCCCTGGTCTTTACTCTAAAGATATGATATCGAGGGGTAACGGGCTATTTGGTTTAAGCGACATTTTTGCAACTTTACAGGAGAGCCTTTTAAAGTTTGAAATTTCGAAAAAAAATTCGTAACAAAAACATTTCTGCAGTTATTTGAACGGGGTAAATTGCATTGAAATTTAAATTAAATTATCTAGTTGCTGATGCTAATTCTAAATAAAGCGGACCTTTAATTACAAAGATAAATGTCGCTTAATACAATCTGCCCTTTTTTAGAGTCAGGAAAAACGATTTAAGTGACTTCATAACTACAATTGGCTACAAGGGAAAAAAATTAAGCGACAATGCACTCTATTTACAGAGTAAGCTAAAAAATGAAGTGACGAAACCCAAATTAATAGAAGAAGCTATTTATCTTAACTACCAATTCAGACTAAAATGAGTGACAGGCTAATTTACTTATGTGACATATAACATTGAAATTATAACGTTTAATGTTTATGTTTATTTACATCTAAGGCGATTAATGGCTGATAAAACAACCTGGATATATCGCAATCACCGAAAATCTCAGATGCTTACATTGAATAAATAAACACAACACAATATCAAAGTATTTATTTAGAGTAATAATACAGTTTCAATAGGAATATCGATTATATTTCAGCAAAATCAATTAAATTAATGGGTCATTTACTGAAATTGCCGTTTTGTATGAAAAAATTTAAACGATTTTTTCATGTATTTTTTATTTGTATAATCAACGTAATCACCCATGCAATCAATGCATCGTTGCCAACGCAGTGGCAGTTTATTGATGCCCTTCTTCAATCAGCTGGACGGGTAGCAACAAATTCTTCAAATGCATTTTGTACTGCCTCTCGGTTATTAAATTTTTTCCCGCCAAGAAGTTATCCAAATTCTGGAAAAAGAAGTAGTCTGGTGACTGGTGAGTAGGTGGATGTCGGAGAGCTTCACAACCCCAGTTCTTGTAACGTGGAGGCCGTCTCTTGTGCAGCTTTAGGTCGCGCGTTGTAATGCAGGAGCAATGGAGATTAGCGATTGACCAATGCTGGTTGGAGATGTGTCAGCTTCTCCATCATTGTGTTCAGTTCTTCACACTACACATCCGTAGTAATGCTCACTCCGTTTGGTAAGAATTTGTGATGAATCAGAATAGCGCGAGCGCTAGACCATCAGTGACCATCACTTTTCTAGGGGTAAGTTTTCGTTTAGGGCATTGTTTAGGTGCTGAACTAGGATTCAACCAACATGCTAAACGCGTGTGGTTATCACACAGATTTCATTTTTCATCGGAGGTGACAATGCAAATCAAAATTCTTTCATTTGTGTGTATATTAGCAGTGCAGTGCAAGGCACTACTCGATGCATTTTTTTTAAGGGTGGAAAATCATCGAATGACTGCTCCCGCCTGGGTGAGGCGGAAAGAGTGTCAGACTCTTACTGACTAAAAATCACCCCGTTTCTTCTCCTGCACGTCGAGCCGGAGCCCCGGTTACCCGTTAGGTTCTCCGCGACTCCGAATCGGCATCGACCCTGTTGGGCCCCATCTGTGGTGGTCTGATGGCTCTTTGAGGCGCGCGCGGAACGCGACGCGCCGTACGCTCGGGTCTGTTTCTGGTCGGACGGAGCCACCCATGCTCACCGTCCGCAGGCCCGCGCTTACGGTAACTGGAGATCGTCCCGCGATCCCCGACGCCAGGTGTGTCCTTCGCGATGGCTGGGTTGCGAGGAGCCAGCGCTTCGCTGCCTCACGCGTCCCGCCTCCTCCTTAGCTAGCATAACTGCTTCGCAAAAGGAGGAGACGGCATCCCAGTCCCCCTCGCACTGCTCGATGCATACTTAGCTCTGTTGATCATTTAGTTTGTGGGACACCCACTTATCAAGCTTTTTTACCTTGCCAATTTGACGCAAATGTACCAATATTGTTTTGACGCTAACGTCGAAAGCTGTTGCTAAATCAGCCGTAGATTGTATGTCATCAAAGTCATTGTTGCCAAAGTCTTCGAACGACCGCGAGGTTCATCTTGAAATTAAAGTACTTAGGATTCAATTTCGATGAGCGTTTTACGTAAACACTGGTGGTGTGCGCGCGTCCGTCTGTCTTCGGCGCACTCTGGAGTGACTGAAGCGCCAGCGCACGATAGTCCAGTTGGATGATAACGATTTTTAACACCAGGGCGATGAAATAAATATGGTATCATATGATGATTGAAATGTACCATATTAAAACTTAGTGATTGAAAGACCGACTCGTATTTCTATGAATACTGGAAAAATGTTTCAATATTCATTATCAATGTTATCGTCTGTATAAAACGACATGCATTTAAAAAAAAAATGAGGGTTAAATGGTTTATGACTAAACAAAATATCTGAACGAAAACAACTATTTGGTTTAAGTAGCACCCTGCGTAGAAAATAGAGGCAGCTAGAAATGTTTAAGAGACGTACCATGACGCATTTGGATGACGGACAAATGTTTTAAGCGACATCACACCGTGTGATTAGTGGGAAGTCAAAATGATTCAAGTTACTTGTTAATAAAAATTAGAAACAAGAAAAACGCTTTAACTCATATTGACTTAATAATTAGAGATAGGGTGACTGGTTTATGTCTCGGTTATTAATATGATGGTATGGTTCAAGTACATAATTTAATAAAAAATGCGAAATCCATGTCGTTTAATACACTGCCACTTTGGAAACAACATGAAAATAGAATTGTTTGAAACGCCAAAAAAGTGCTCCGATTTTAATGAAACCGGCATCATTCGACGGAGAAAAATTCGCTGATTCCGAATATATATCGAGGGGTAACGGGCTATTTGGTTTAAGCGACATTTTTGCAACTTTACAGGAGAGCCTTTTAAAGTTTGAAATTTCGAAAAAAAATTCGTAACAAAAACGCTTCTGCAGTTATTTGAACGGGGTAAATTGCATTGAAATTTAAATTAAATTATCTAGTTGCTGATGCTAATTCTAAATAAAGCGGACCTTTAATTACAAAGATAAATGTCGCTTAATACAATCTGCCCTTTTTTAGAGTCAGGAAAAATGATTTAAGTGACTTCATAACTACAATTGGCTACAAGGGAAAAAATTAAGCGACAATGCACTCTATTTACAGAGTAAGCTAAAAAATATGAAGTGACGAAACCCAAAATTAATAGAAGCAAGCTATTTATCTTAACTACCAATTCAGACTAAAATGAGTGACAGGCTAATTTACTTATGTGACATATAACATTGAAATTATAACGTTTAATGTTTATGTTTATTTACATCTAAGGCGATTAATGGCTGATAAAACAACCTGGATATATCGCAATCACCGAAAATCTCAGATGCTTACATTGAATAAATAAACACAACACAATATCAAAGTATTTATTTAGAGTAATAATTACAGTTTCAATAGGAATATCGATTATATTTCAGCAAAATCAATTAAATTAATGGGTCATTTACTGAAATTGCCGTTTTGTATGAAAAAATTTAAACGATTTTTTCATGTATTTTTTATTTGTATAATCAACGTAATCACCCATGCAATCAATGCATCGTTGCCAACGCAGTGGCAGTTTATTGATGCCCTTCTTCAATCAGCTGGACGGGTAGCAACAAATTCTTCAAATGCATTTTGTACTGCCTCTCGGTTGTATTAAATTTTTTCCCGCCAAGAAGTTATCCAAATTCTGGAAAAAGAAGTAGTCTGGTGACTGGTGAGTAGGGTGGATGTCGGAGAGCTTCACAACCCCAGTTCTTGTAACGTGGAGGCCGTCTCTTGTGCAGCTTTAGGTCGCGCGTTGTAATGCAGGAGCAATGGAGATTAGCGATTGACCAGTGCTGGTTGGAGATGTGTCAGCTTCTCCATCATTGTGTTCAGTTCTTCACACTACACATC